AAATACAATACCCTAATATGACAATTATACTCAGAATTAATAATCGACATAATAAAAGAAGAGTCCATAATCCAATCAAAAGGTAGGTAATTGCTTTCATATAAAATGTGGCAGCTGATTTATAAAAAACCAGACAGACGGCAAAAGTTTTAAAGCGTACCATGCAAAATCAAAAGTCATTAATGTCCAATAAGTTAAAAATTTAAGAGGCTGCTATAATAAATCATTTTTTATTTCATCTCTGTACCAATTTTTCCCAGTCTTTTTTCATCAATTTAACACGAACAAAAAGTGGCACTCAATTGTAAGGTTTATGCCGAACTTTTTTTTTTATTATAGGCAACCCGTTTAACGATTTCGACCAATCGCAAGCCGTTATCGGTGACCGCGCGCCGCCCTCCTCGGCCGTGATTGGTCCGTCGTTCGGTACAGATTGTGTGATGGCGGGAAACGAATTTAAGTTTAGGGCATCTCATTCTTACAACGATTAGTGCTGTGACACGTTTCACGTCGATAGTGAATTTTTTGAAACAATTTATTATCATTTCTTTTCATTTCTTTAATAGTGACTGCTATCAAAGTGCCTAGTGCGAATTCTAAAAAGATTTACTTCGAAAATTTGTATTAACTGCACCTTTAACAGATAATTTTGGAAACTCAGATTTTAATACAAATTTACCTATTTAAACGTGAACATAATTGTAATACCAAACAAATAATCTTTGTGTAACTCACACAAGGCACTCAATAATAAACATTCACCACTACTGTGCTTTCTAATATTAACGTAGCAGCTTTGTAATGGAATGATATAATGAACATTGTTTTTATTGCCTCTTAAAATATCAAACACAACATAATATAAAAAAAGAATAGTATTCATGTCATGTTTATTACCGTGTTTCGAATAAGAATATAACACTCCTGAGATGTCGAGTCGAGTAGGAACAAAACATAATACATTTATGTAAGAGAAGGAAAACTTAAAATAAATCCCTATGTAACTTCATAGTAATAGCACTTTAATATCCTCATGTCATGAGGACAGATCTTTACTCACTAGTGACACTTTATTTATTTAACTTTTATGGGTTGTCATAACATTAAAAGGTCTTTTTTTTTTAACTTTTTCCACCGATTTCAAAAAAGAAGGAAGATTTTGTTATATAAGGTTGTATTTTTTAAGTTTGTTATCTCAGAACTCCGTCATTAATAAATCGATTTGAATTTTTTTTATATGAAACGATATATTTTCAGATTGGTCAGATAGAAATTTTATCAAAACCTAAGTTACTTAGGTTATACTAAACTGCTAAACTAAGTTACTTTATCGATTGAAGTTGTTGTTCTTTTATTTGTGGAATAAAATTTATTATTATTAAAAAAAAACTGTCCTTATGATATATTGTATAATTACCAAATTCCCTGTATGAATAGATGTATCTACCTCTCATCTTTAAGCTTGTCATATACATTGAAGAAAACTTATATATTATGATTGCGCCTCAATTAGATTAAAATATATATCTTTTTATCGATTACTTTATTTATTTTATCGATCTTAGTCAATCACTAGCACACCTAATTGAGACGGAACTGCTTCGAGCGAAGTTACACTAAACGTCGTTGAGTTTCGCCGCCGTTTGCCTTTAAATCGGAGCCCTAAACAGGCAGGCTTCATCATTCTGCGGTCATTTACAATCTAAATGCACTAAAATACGTGATACAGAGTTTGTTAACTACGTATAACGGTACTAACAGTCTTAGGGCATTTAAAGTTAGAGTATTAACGATTTATCCTTTTTCAGCACTGAATTATTAACCCTTCTTTACATAATGGTCGAAATTTCCATCATAACATTGAATGCCCAAAAATTATATAAAAGAACAAGTTCACTTTAAGTTGATCGTGTCAGGATACCTTTTTAATGTCCATTGCAGAAGAAAAACATAGCTGTAAAATTTATTTTTTTAACCATTTTTCCTTTAATTTTGAACATGAATTATATCACCTTGATTTATTTCACCAATAAAAAAAAATCATGCAAAGAAAGGTTAAAAAAAGAGATATAGCCTCTCAAATAAAAATTATTACTTAGTAACTGTCTACAGATATCCGGCTCGAAGTACCAAAAATATTAATTACTTTTCTGATTAAAATTATCTTAATTAATTTTGTAAATGTCACGTACGTTAAGTGCAAATGAAAACTAGTTATCCTGACAAAAAGAGGGAAAAGGGATTCTTATTAGTAGGGCCTAACAGATCCATAGCAATATACCCTATTTGGTTGACCTCCACGCGGGTCCTCTTGGTAACCCCCGTGGTTATTTTTTGTACAATTCGTTCAGATGACGCTAACGCACCTGATTTCTTCATCATCACTGATGTCTCTCCATTTTATACTGGTAGTGCAAGCGACGTTACCTTTTCATTTTGCCCATTAGAAAAAAAAAACCGACAGACAAAATTGTTTCAAATATTGGACTGTTCTGTGCCAGTTTATTTACGCGTGAAATAATTACATTTTTGCCGAATAATTTTTTTACTTTTTCTCTTCATAAGAACACTCCTCAGATTCAATGAATGTTAAAAAAATAACCAAATTTGTCATTTTCAAATGTCCATTGTCGTGTTTTGCAATTTGCTGTTACCATTAAATTATTTAATTTAATTATTAATGAAGTTGCATTTAATTATTAATTTTTGTATAAGTACACATTTAGATTTATTATTAAATTATAAAAATGTAACAAATTCTTGTAAGTTCTTTCTAATTTATATAATATAACAACATTTCGAATCCAGTGATAAAATCATAAAAAAATGTACTATTTATAATCGCTTATCATCAAGTTTGAATAACACTTGCTATTCTGCTAGATATTTTGATATTCACATGTCACGGAACCCTAAGAATAAATATACGAATTGTCAAATAATATGTACATGTTTGATTCGAACGCCATTAGTCATAAGTTGATTCGGTTGTGAATATTACAAATGCAACTCATAGTTTAATATAGGTACCTGAACATAATGATGCTAGTTACAGAATGATAGATGAAAAATAAATTACCCTTGCAATGAATATTCCATTTAAAACCCTATGCATTGGTGATAAGGATCATATTGAATTAACCGTATAAAGGTTTACACCTATAATTTTTCCTCAGTAACAGGTAAAGGAGGTTTTTATTGAATTTTTTATATAAACATCTACATATGGGGTCTTATAACTTAAAGCTAGTATTTATTGCAATTTTATATAAATTTTGTTGGGCTTCTGTTACATAAAATACCAACTGATAGAGACAACTGGGTGCCAAGGGCTTTATTCGAAGGAATAAGGGATTGTTAGTAATGAGGATTAGCAACCCTATTTCTAGTAATACACCCTGTCAGGTCGACCTCTACGCGTTTCCCCCTGAAAACCATCGTGATTGATTTATTGTTAAATCAATCACGATGGTCCTGACTAAACTGCTTCATCCTCATCTATCATCCATTACTGGTGGCTCACTAGTGTATATCGATAGCACAGGCGGGGTTACCATTCCATTATTATCTCTTAAAAAAAGGCTTTATCCTTATATATACCTACGTGCCATAGTGACGAATTGGCCGGGAATTAACCATAATGATTTCGAGAAGGGAACGCGCGGATGATAAGGTATATTGTTAGCATTAAGGACGAAAACACCAATACTAACAATTCCCTCCCTTCGTCATTACTAACGAAGATTATAACGCCTCATTGAAAAAAATATGACTAAAATGATATAAAAAGTATTATTGACATCTTACGTCTGGTAGCAAAATTATTTTACAACGGACACTAACTGCAATGCTTATAATTGGAACATTAAATAACAGATGGCGCTGTTAGAACTTTATTACATAATTGTAGAAAAAGTTTACTGTCTTATATAAATGTGGACAGATGGCGATAAAACATATTTTATTATTTTGGATAATAGTAAAAATGATACAAATGAAATTAGATTAATCGATCCATCAACCGAGTATAAAATTATTAATTACCCGAGTAATTTTTAAATTATATACATTTAATAACAAATTTTAATTAACTATGTGTCATGCGAACATTTATGCGTTTTCAGGTAATACTTACAATTTGCCCTTGTAAATTAGAATAAGAAGTAGTCTATAATCTATCTGTGCACCAAAATTAATTCAAATTCATTCAGCCGTTTAAGTGAGATCTTGCTAACATAATAAAATTATAATTAGACGATATTTATACTTATGAAAAAAAAAAAACATGAGGGTCTCAATAAGACCAATAAAGACCAAAACAACGATTTTTAGAAATTTTGTTTGTATGTCTACTCGGTCAGTACGTTTGTTCCCATATTACGCTAAAACTACTATACCAATTTGGGTGTGGTTTCTACACTTCTATTTCTAAAGTTTTAACTTAAAATGCAAAGCATGTGTTATCTTGCTACGCTATCCAGAAATGGCCTGCTTCATTAGTTCTGAATCCGTATAAACGCAGTAGCAGACAAAAAGCTAGGTTTATAATAACATCCAAATACCTATATCGGTAGCTTTACAAGACGTTATTACTCACAATATCACAAATTAAAATAAATCAATATTCAATAAGTGCAATGTTTGGAGGTAAAGTCAACATCATATCCGCCGTTAACTGGCCACTCCAGATTATAAGAATAGTTGCCACGCTTGACAATCTAGTTGGCAACCGTAATTAGCCTTCGTCATATTTTAAGAGGAATGTTGCTTCACATCCCTCGATCATTAAATTCCTTTAGTCGCCTTTTACAACACCCACGGGAAAGGAAGGGGTGGTCCATTCTATGCAAGGACTATATGGAGAGGAAACTACTAATTTAATTGAACGATTTGAAACCTTATTGCTGTGTTATATAGTTAAAATTCTAAATTCATGAATATTGTAAACAGACCGAAGGAGAGGTATGCGAAGGTGAGATACAATAAAAAAAAATATTTATAAGGATTTAATCATCAATAATATTTAAATAATTATAGTACAATACAACATTGTTGTCAACATTTTCAAAATGCACTTTTACATTTTATATAATTTTCATTATTTTTTTTTTTATTTGACATATACATTACTCATTTCGTGACCATTTAATTAATCTAAGATCAATAATAATATATATCGAAAATCACACCACATGACTATTAGCTGTTTCAAAATACTAGATTTTTTCTTTACTTTTTTATTATTCAACACATAGGCATTTAAAAATTTACCAATGCATAAATCCAGCCGAATTATGCATTGAACAACACCTATGAAATTGAACTTTATTTATATAATAATAGGTACCAAATACGGTTACCGAAGATGGTATATGAAGTAACAATAATAAATATATTTAATGTCAAATTTTCTTTGGCACATTTTTTTAATAACTAAAAGAATAGCAATATTTATTGAAATGCGTCGAACAAGGTGTCTTGACTGCGCTCGTGTTTGTATCGCTTGGGTTGGTTGTCGACCTCGTCTTCAATGTAGTCGCAGGGACCGAGTAACTGTAAAAATAACATGTGCATAATTAAAACTCTTATTTTTAAACTAGCTTTTTTCCCGCTACTTTGTATGCATGGATTTGGGAAGTAGGAAAAGTAATGATATAGACCACTACTTAGATGGCTTCTCCAGATTATTCAGCAGAATTTAAATTAGACTGAAGGTCTAAAGGAGTATAATTATGAAACCAGTATTCGAATTGGTGCAGTAGTTTTTACGTAATGACGAAACAACAAACAAACGTGAACAAACAAACCTGAATGAATATCAGCGTTTTGCTCTTTTGAGGGCAAACAATAAACTGAGTTGTGACCATTTTGTGTTACTATGGCACACGCATGAAGGGAAAGAAAGAAAATTGTTGGTTTATATATTTTGCTTTTAGTTTTTTTTTTTTTTTATTTGTTGTTGTTTTATTTTCATTCTTTTATCTCTTTTACTGTGTATTATGTGTATGTTTGTATTATAATTTGTGTGCTGTAAGTAATGTAAATAAATAAAAACAGAATTTCTAAATATTATTATTTTGATATCTATTGCTTTTATTAAGACTCCAAATAAAAATTCATTTTAAATATCTCCCATGTATTGATATCGAAACAATTGTCGGAAACTATATCGACAAATCGTCATAGTCGTAGAATACTGATGGATATTTATATTTACCAAATATTTGTCAGATCCGTCAGTATTCTACGACTATGACGAGATAGTAAATTCATAACATTTCCCTTTATACATATATACCATCATATCAGCCATTAACTGTCCACTGCTTAACATAAGCCTCCATCAAATATCTTTGCCAGTAGTTGCCACGATTGGCAAGCTGATTGGGATGTTTTAAAAGGGACGCTACTGCTCATAACTCGACTATTAAGTTCCCTTAGTCGCTTCTTACGACACCCACGAGAAAGGAAGGGGTGGCCCATTCTATGAGGAGACCATACGACAATATACATATATAAAGGGAAGAAGGGATTGTTAGCTATATCAAGTCGACCTTCACGCGGTTCCCCCCGGAAACCATCATGATTGATTTTTTGTTGAATTGGTCATGACGACACTGGTGCCCCGCTAGTGTATACCGATAGCGAAGGCGGGGTAACCATTCCATTTTTATCCATTAAAAAAATACATACATTATATATAAACATCGGTAAAATATTTTATAAGTTTATGCATATTTATAACATTAATTTAAATATAGATAAATTAACTAAAAAATGCATTGTAATAAAAAAGAAATCCGGGATCTATCTACGTAATGAACCTTCATATTATTGTTTCTTTCAATCACAGCTAATGAAATCTTGTGTTTATTTGGACTTCCTCTTATATGGTAATGAATACAATTTACAATAATCGTCAAAGCAATTCAAATATCTACCAGTCAAATTTCTTCAGTTCGCTGAGCCGTTACAATTGACCTATTGGAATATTGTTTGAACAATTGTATTTTATTTTTCATAGAAAACATTAAATTCTGAAAAGAATTTAAATTTGGAAATGTAACTGTAAACAGTCTTTGAATTGCAGCTTCAAATTGATAGATTCTAAAACATTCTATATATTTTAAACTTAATAGAAACAAAATATTAAGTAGAACTTTTTTATCATGTATTTTTTTCTGTTTTATCAATACCGTGTTATTTTCAAAGGTTTTTTTTGTTGATGGGTGAAAATTAAATGGTAACCCCGCTCACGCTATAGGTATACGATTCTATCGATGGTTTCCTTTGCCACGTGTCTAGAGGACTGCTCTGTCATTGAAAAAGAATATTTTTTTCTGAGAGAAATAAGTATCGAAAAAAATTTGAATACTTTTACATTTATAGGTAGTACTTATAAGTAGATGTATAATATATTTATGTACAATATATTTCTTCATCTATATAATAACAACAATATAATAACAACATCTATATAAACACAATTAAGCTCAAAGAGATTCATAGATAAGCCCATCTTTATACATGATATTTGTGACTGCGCTATCTCATTACCTTCTACTTCGTACGCGAGGATTTCAGAAATAGTATCAGTATCGTCTACCGCCTATTCCATGCAGAATGCTCAGAAGAACTTAATTCCCTTATACCACTTTTTCCTTTCCGATATCGCATAATAAGGATCGACCAGCGACTACTACATATATGGTAAATCGCCCGCGTTCGCGCACAAGTGTGTCAACTCTTACGTGAACCATACCGTAACAATGCGGAATGATCTTTCCCGATAGGTGTTTCCTTCAATCTATAACTTCGGATCTTTTAAATATAGAATTAAAAAGCACTCATTAAGTCGACATAATACGGTCAATCGTTGAGAGTAAATCGTTCTCTTTTTGGTTGATCGTATTCATGGACTATGTCGTTCCTGTGTTCGCTTGGTATCGTGTGATATGGCATGTCGTACTATAATAATAAAAAAAATTACCCTTTCATTCAAAGGTTTCCCTTCGAGCACATATTTGAGTTTGTTCATCTGACATGGGCTCAAGATCCTTTCCAGGTTGTTGGTAAGATCTCTAATATCTTCTGTCTTGTGGCCGTCCCTTTTACCGTTCGTCCATCCCCTCGAGTACTGGAAGGTCTGCGCTGCTACTGACGTGAGGGTAATGACGATTAAAAACATAGTTATATTCGTCGCCATTTTGATAACTGAAATAAAAAAAAAAACACATGTATGACAGTTGAAAAGTAACACAGAGACGAGTTAAAGCATGTAAGATTTCTTCCTGTAAAAAAGAAAAAAAAACGTGACTTGATAAACTTAAAACGTTCTTCCATGAATGCAGACAAATTTATTAATTAATTATTGAACATTTTATTGCACCAATATTATTCTATTAATATAATAAATGCGAGAGTTTGTAACGACAGAAGTACAAATAGATATTTGTTACTCTTTCACACAAAAACTAGTGAACAGATTTGAATAAAATTTGGTACATGGGTAGGTTACATCCTAATTTAGCACATGAAATACTTTATGTACTGATACACGCATGTAAAGCCGCGGAATATAGCTAGTATGGAATATTATTCCTTGTGTAATTAATTCCTTAAGTAAACAGGTAATTGAAAACTATTTCAGTATACGGACGCAACGAAGTGCTTAAAGTATCAAACCAGATTGTATGAGCGAACTATTTATATAATCTCTGACTTTGTTCCGTATATTAACCCAAACCCTTTGATGGACACGGGTCTCTTTCCATAAGAGCAGGACAGTCTATTACCACGCTGGCTGAATTATTTGCTCTAGAGTTTATTATTGTGTTTTCTTTCTTTTGAATTAATCAATTATGTTTTTTTTTCTTTAGTCGTCTTTTACTATATTACACCACAATGGTAATAGTAGATTCATTATGATATCAGCTTTATGCTGTCCACTGCTGAACATAAGCCTCCTCCTAGGGAGGTTTTTCCCGTAGTTGCCAGGCTTAGCAGCCAGATTGGCAACTACAGTAAGGCTTTGGAAATGTTTTAAGAATGTTTGTGTTTTGTAAATGTTTAAATAAATCTTTATATAAAACAGAGTTTGTTTATTGCCTCCTGGTGTTTTAACGTCTTAGCTAAATTTCATGAAATTTTGTGTACATGTAGTGTTTGGGATAGCGAAGGTCATGGCGTTTTATTTCGCTGACGCGGACGAAGTCGCTAGTAACAACTGGTAAATATATACCACACGTAGCTATGAGTCTAAAATTTATCAAATCGGAAACTTCCTAATTTTTAAAGTCGATTAAAAATAGGTTACGTGCACCGTTTACATATACATACTAGCTATTATAATTGAGATGATATTTTCGCGTCATTATGCATTAAAATGATTGACAGTAAGGAAATAGAAATTCTACTATTGACACCTACGAATGGTAGTAATTTGAATTACAAATGAATAATCCTGTATTCTAACGCTCTTATTCAGGGGAAGAGGGATTGTTAATAATGGGTTTAGAAACCCTATTACTAGCAATATATTTTTTTTTTTATTATTTATTTACACTTTATTGCACCAAGTAAATATACCCTAACAGGTCGAATATAATACGATAAAGGTTTATACACAGTTATATACATAGTCTACAACTTTATAACTACATAGTTTTACAACTTTATATATGCTTAATTTATATATTATAATTGAAAAAAAAAACCAAAAAAAATCCTCAGTTTTATACACAGTTACTGTAATAATACAGATAAGAAGGTTGTCGCAAAAAACATAGCGACAGAAAACAAAGATTAATTAAAAAAAAAACAGATCGAACTCCTCGCGGTTTCCCCTGGAAACTATCGTGGTTGATTCATTAGTGAATTTGTCACGATGGACTAAATGCTATTATCCCTCACTGGTGCCCCGCCAGTGTATACCGATAGCGCGGGTGGGGTAACCATTCCATTACCAATCATTAAACGCTCTTATTCATAAAAACGTTAAACGTCTCATAAACCTATTTTAGCTAAAGAAGTATTTTGTTTTTTTTTACCGATTCCAGATTAGTAAGAAAGTGACAAAGAATTCAAATAGCTAAAATAGATTTGTAGTAGGTGTTAGTTTTTATGACTAAGGCGGTAGTGTATGTAGGATGAAATTGGATTTATTAATTTTGGTTAATACGAGTATTATGCTAACGTATTCTGTCAGTAATATACAATAGAACATTTACACAAAATTTTCTCAATTCTGTGGTGCAGCGGTAAATATAAATATCTTGCTTTACGTAATGAGGTTGCGGGTTCGAGATTCAGTCGGGTCAATTTAGGAAATGAACGGTTTTTGGTCGTGTCTGTATGTTCCAGGTAGTGCCATTCGTTGTTGGTTTTCTGGCGTTTTATAAAAAAAATATTAACTTTTTATTTATATTATTAATTGCATTTAGCCAAACTTTAATTTATACATGAATAACTATACCGCCGATAGTGTATTCCATGATTTTAATCTCGAATAAATCAAAAGTCATTTTTCCATGCAATCGAACGTATAACTATACTTGGAATAATTATTCGTGACTAGTATAGTGAACGGTGACCAAAAATGATACCCAACAAATTAACGTTGTTCTACAAGGAGACGACATATAAGCTTATGTTATATCAACTTACTTTTGTTGTATTGTAGTGAATGAAAAAAATTGCTGTCATTTTGTCAATGTCAACTGATAACCACACCACGTGGTATATCTACATTTGCTGCATTTTGTTAATTATTGTTGTATAGTGTTTGCTTTTTCTACATATTTTGCAAGAAAATGGCTAAAGATAAACGGAAACGTAGTTCAAATTGGCTACAATCTGAGAAAGAGTTACTGTTAAGTTTAGTGGAGGCCCACTATAATATTTTATATATAACATTTTATTTATTTTATACGAAAATAAAACCAAACCGAGATTACCAGTACTTAATTGTACCTACGTACGTATAGAAATCACCACACGCATTTGACAGCTTACGAATCTTAGATCATATGGTCCTGGGACGCCATTTTATTTTACTATTCTTGGAATATCTCTGTTATACCGCGCAAAACAGTGGTATAGTAGATATTCCCGAATAAGATCGTTAATCTTAGAATTGTAAATGCTAAAACGTAAAATTAATTTATTCTCGAATAACTAGCACTTTAATCCAAGAATAAAATTTATTCTCGCTTGGTCGAATCCGCCCTAAATAGTATTTTTATTATTTAGAACACAGGGTACCTTAACTTAAGGGATCAGAAGATTGGCGTAGTTGTGTGGCAATTTTAAGACCCTCATACTAGAGAGCTGGTCGTGTCATAAAGTCGTATTGGTAATTATAAGTATTTCGTATTATTAATTGAAATTTTCACTTATTCTGAACCGATATTTTTTTTTTTATAAAAAGGGCAAAGCCCTATAGATTAAACAAACAATCATCAAAAATTGGTGGGTGGTGTTGGTTTCATAGGAATTAATGACGGTCAAAACTGATTTTGTGATGCAGAATATCACAGTATCCAGCTGACACCAAAATTTTCAGGTCAGTTTAAACCGTTCGAACTAATAGCAGCGATTGAAAAACACCACATTAATCCCAGAGATGGCGCTAGGCTCTTTTCTTTGCCATGTTGGGTTCAAATACATGCTCGATGCAATGTGGGCACGCTGAATGTTATTTTCACCACAATAGCAGCAATCGAGAAACCCGGCTAAAGCCAGAGAAAACAGCTAGGGTGATAATTAGAGGTAATTATCACACTAGCTGTTCCCTGTGGCTTTGCTTGTATGAATCAGTATATATTATATATAAAGTATTCTACGAGTACGTGTTCATTTCAAACGGTTCAACTAGTTAAGCGTGACTGAGTAACAAACATACAAACATCTTAACAAACTTTCACATTTATAATATTAATAGTATTTGTTGTAATTAGACTAGATATAATGATATATTAGATAGTACAACTTTCGCGCGCTATCATTTCTTTTTTTTTTACTAAAACCATTTATTTTATAAACTCAGTGCTCCGGCGTTATGAGCAAACAGATTTATTTTTGTCGAATCTACAAAGCCGAAAATTTACTTATTGGTAACCCTAATCTAGCCCTTTTATCTTATACTCACAGAGGGAGAATTGCTGTGTGTATTATTGTCCTATTTAAAATAGATATTTATAAGATTTGTACGATAATATTAAAATGAAAATTTACGTTATATACCATATTTTATTTGTGACTTTGTCCATAAAAAACCGGGGTATTCTTACTGACCGCGACAAAAAGTAGCCTATGTCTTTCTCCATCACACATCAATACATATAACAAAATCGTAACTGATCTATACATTTTTTTTGTGTATCTTAGAATGGCAAACAAGCGATGGCCCACCTGATGGAAAGTGATAACAGAGACATGAACATAACAGAGTATACCTACTGTTTCGCCCATGATACCCCCATGCGTTGCCATTCCTGAGGGCTCAGGTGTTATTCCTCTGTACCCTATAAATTCACTGCCATATCCCACCCTTCAAACCGAAACACAGTCGTGCAAACACAACTGTTTCACGTTAGAAACACGAATGGAACAGAGGTGCTCAAGCAAACGACTTTCGTACAAAGTCTCGCTCTGGTACGCGAAGTAACGGGCAAATAGTTGGTAATTAAATAATGTTTTAATGATGTCACAAGCATGACGTCATCAAAATGTCACATTCAAGCAATCCCGGCTATTTATAAAGTACTCGCGACTCATCCATAAATTATTGAGCTTATTATAGTAGGTATACCTCGAAAATCCTATCAAAACTTCAGAACTAACATACTTAGGTACTTTAATAACTTATCATACGCCCTTATAAGTACGTATATTAATAATGAAATTGTGAGTGGTTATTATAAAATATAATTTAATGCTCGAAATAGGGTTGCCACTTCGCTATAATATTAATCTTTCATGTTTCACAATTAAGGTATAATTTGACTAGATATATAATGTATTTGTATTATTTTTTGCCCCAGTTAAACCTGGTTTATGTGCAAAATATGTTTAGAAATTATACCTGTATATTATATGTAAAACATTATAATATCAATTATCTCTCACAACTAACTTCTTGCATTGTAGACATAAATTTATAAGTATAGTTGTATATTATATATTTATAAATAGCTTTCGCCCGCGACTTCGTCTGCGTGGCCAGGACTTATTTACTGAGCGTGGTAAAAAGTAGCCTCCATCCCATATAGTACGGATTGTGGTCACCCATCCTAGTTGGGACTACGGCCGGGGTTGCCTAACTTGAACTACGACTTCAAGCAACCACTCACTTCTCACTGTATTATATACTTAAATGATAATTACGTATCTAATACCTTCAATTGAAATTGATTGAAAAAAACAGACACTAAATGTTAAGTGGATCAAACAGCAACGCACTAGTGATAACTGCATACAAATCGGTTAAGCCGTTTCTGAGATTAGCGTGCACAAACTTACAGGCAAACAGGCAAAAAATTCCTTATAATAATGTTTCCTATATATCTTCCACGTACAGAAAACGACCACTTACGATTTTGTTATATTTATTAATTGATTGATTTGTAATCGTAGGTACAATTCCTTTGTTTATATGCATTATTATAATTTTAATTCTTTATCCTTTTATTTACAAAGTTTTACTCTCAATTAGTTATCATAATTTAAATATTAAGTAGATGTCTTATCTTAATTTGTTAGTTTTTTTAATTGTGTATGATTTATGTATATTAAAAAGATAATTAAGAAATTAGGGCTAGGTTTCAATCTAGAAATATCGAGAACGCAGAAGTGAAATTATACATAAAAAAATAATAATTCTTCTAAAAATTGACAACCCTAGTAAATAAGCGCGTAAAACGGACCTTTCCTCACGCCATTTCAGTTCCACCATTTATAATTATTAACGTTCAGATTTAGTTAGTAATTCAACTAATAGTCTAATTAGGATCAGCATATTTGTTTGAGCTAGTTAAACTCACTAGTTTAAGCGTAGTTTTAAACAGTTTCATATAACGATTACTTTGTCGACATACGTAGAACGTTTGTACTCGTAGGTTTTATTTGCGATAATGATATTCCGGGTTCGATTCTCTGTCGTGTCAATTTAGGAAGCATATATAAATTAGATTCAATTTGAATGTTCTGGGCCGTGCCTAAGGATTAAAGTATTAAGGGCCAGAGAAGTAATTGGTGTGATTGGCACTCTACTTTTATTAATTTATTAACTAAGAGTATATCACTGCTTTACTCAAGTTAATGGGATAAAAAAATATCATATTGTATGATGATATAAATCAAGGATAATTAGTCAATCCGTTTGTGTGCCAAATTTTATTCAAATTATTTTAATCGGCGATTGAAAATTTAAATATACAAATATTACAAACTTTTTTATATATGTATATAATAGAATTACAATTTAATAACAAATTTAATCAGACTGGTCTGTGCTTGACACTAGCTCTGACTAATTTGTTTTTGTTCAATTCTAAAGCTCCACATACACGGATAAATTAGTTCTAATGGTTTGTGGTTTAATAGAGGTAAAGCAAGTGTGTTGCCATATAATAATATAATAATCCAGCGTTGTATAAAAAAATTAAACGTCAATATTATTGTTTCTATTGATCGAAGCGATAAAAATATATATCTTCGTGTAAAGGGGGATAATTTTAATTTATTTTCAATACGTTCACAATTTTGAATTTCCCAGTCAACCATAGGGATCATCGCCATTATCATTACCAGACTATACTAAAGTATGCAATTTAGTTCTAGACATAGACCTTGTCCAAGGCACACCAGTGAACATGATGGTTTAATTATTATCACGCCACCATTCACTAGGACGTCCTACACTACGTTTGTAGATTCGAGGTAGCTAATTCGATGAGTTACAGCGATAACGTGAGGTCTCTAGGAAAGTGTATACTACATATGTGTTACAAAATACTCTATATGACTCGTGTGCATGGGTATCATACAACGTTCTATATTCTCCGCAAAGTAGCAATGGGTCCGTAGTTGTTTTAATCTGTACATTGAAATTGTGGTAGACAAACATACAAGATGTAACTGACCTTAGTTTTCAGAAGTAGCTATTCATAAGTAGCACAGTATATCCCATGAATATCTATAATATTGTTCATAGACTATATTAGAACCAATAAATTAATAAAGATCTATTTAATTATCTAAATAATCGAATTAATTGTATATTCTGATTTAATTTATCCTAAATTATTTAAACTAATAACATAATATTAATAAAATAATATTTACCTGTTTTGTGATGCGATAACTTTAATTAATGTCACTAATCCACTCACTGGCTGTCGATAAAAATAAAACTTTTAAATTTCGAATATCGAACCCTTATTATTTTAAGTTCGAACCCGATCCTGTATTAACGTTCAAAGGAGCAATCGTTGACTACGCTTACCAAAGTAAACTTCGCTCCTTTTATACCGAACGGGGCGCTATACAGTGGTCACAGAATTCGTTATAATTGGGCATTTAAATTACTATGACGTTAGTACGTAATATAATTATCATCCTTTGTCTTTACATTATATTAACTAAATAAATTATGCCTACAAACTGAGATTAAATTATAGGAAATGGATATATCATAGAATTAATACTTTATCTAAACAATAATTCTGATAATCCGAACTATAATTAAATATTTATTAACATTTACTTTTGAACTAAGGTAACTAAATTGTCCACTGCTGAACAAGAGCAGGTTTAGTCGATAATTGCCACGTTTCGCACATGGGTCGACTTAGTAAAATTTTGATGATGTTTTAAGATGAACAGTGCTGCCCATATCTCGACTATTAAATTTCCTTAGTCGCCTTTTACGACACCAACGAGAAAGAAAGGGGTGGCCCATTCTATTCCGGGACGACACGCAAGCTTCCCATGCTAGCTTTAATTAATTAATTTTTTTTCAATAATTTGATAAATGTTTTCTTAGGAAAAAATATTTAGTTATATTAGTTATATATTGTTTCGATGTCACCTATAAAGAACTTGTTCGTCATATTTTTAGAAAGTGTGAATACGCTTAACTAAATTTAGATAGTATTTAACAATAAATTTCCATGCCTAATATTTTTTTTTCTTTATACTACTACCATGGTGTTAAATAAGCATACGGCCCGTCTGATGGTAAACGGGGTAGCTGCAGCATATGGACGCATGTAACACCAGACAAACCTTAATACGCCCTTTTTGAAGAAGCCCATGCTGTAGTCTCTAAGGAAAGCCTCGACAGGAAATTTCACAGAAGTGGTAAAAATGAGAATTTTATTCATTTATAAATATTGCTAGTTTCCGTCATTAACAACAATATGTTTTGCCTAATCTATATCTTATGTTTAGCCTGTCCCTAGTTGCGCTACCGGAATACGCTGGCGGAGTACCAGCAGTGAGGGATGATGAGGTAACTGACCTGCCTTCATCCTCACCTGGCATGCCTTATCCCTGATGCCCGTTATGCCCAGTTATCAATTATTAACTGATGCCCAGTTATCGATTATGCAAACGAGATCACCTTTCAATTATCATCCATTGAAAAAAAGGAGTAAAGATAAAATCTGTCACTACGACTTTTCATCCCTCATCAACCATCGTGCCGAATTCCAGGTATATTCATTACGATGAGCTAACTGACCTGCCTCTTTTGTTCACCTATCATCTCTCACTGGTGCCCCTTCAGCATATACGTTAGCGCGAGCAGGGTTACCATTCCATTATCATCCATAAAAAAAAAAAAACTGTCAATCAGTGGTAGTGTAGTGCCAGGGTTATATGTAGGTATGTGTGTGTGTGTGTACGTGTATGTGTTTGTTTAATATACCCATACGCATAGGAAACAGCAAACTCTGTTACTGTCTGAATCAATTAAACTTTGGTAACATAAGTTCAGTGAATCTAGACTTCTGATGCTTAAACGATTATACTGACTTACCAAAGAACTTTTGTCGAGTGTATCTAAATCTATATAACAATATAGCATATGCTAAGCTTAAATAAATGTTTTATTATACTTAAACTGAATGATTACCCTCATTTCATTAGTGACTAATATTTCTTTCATCCAACAGTGCAATGCAACTTCTCCGTCATACTCGTGAACGACTACGTACAGGTACAATAATTACAAAATCTAATCGAATTTGTCAATACGGAATTTTAACAATATACACCGACATCACGTATATTATGCAAAAAGAATCATGATCAATATTTTTTCAGAATTGTTGAAGATGTTACACATACATAAAAAATACGAATAGAAATATAAAAACACTTTTATAAAGTCGGTTGAAAGTGAAAAATAGCGGCGAATATTGAAAAGGAACTAAAATACACAAAAAAGAAACATTCCGTACAAAATTAAGTCAACTTAATCAACAGCTTTGCGTTAAAGCGGTCACACTATCCCCAAATAGGACTTGAGCCAATTTCAAAGGTGCTTACCCAAAAGGCTTTAAGATTATTTAAGATTTCCACCAGCAAAAAGGATAGCCACTTCACACGTGACTATACGGGAGCAGGTAAAGTAAACCTTTCCGATCGGAATAAGTATTATTAAAATCGTTTCACGACTAACGAATTCATAGACAAATTTAAATACAAAAAACATATCTGCAGAGTATAAATCTTATTGGTTGCCAAAAAGGATAATTGGTATCGGTAAAGAGTCAACAAATATAATGCAGTAAATATAAGTAGGTAGGTTAGCCGTGTAAGTCCCGGTATAGAATAATCCACCCTTTCCTTTACCATGGGTGTCGTAAGAGGCGACTAAGAGTGTTTACGTAGAAGAGATGTGCAGTAGCGTCTCTCTTAAAACATTACTAAAAGCCAAACTGCAATTGCCAACCCCACTACCAAGGATGGCAACTACTCGCAAAACCCCCTTATGGGGAGGCAGTATTTAGCAATGGACAATTAACGGTTGATACAACAATATACAAAAAACAAAAAAAAAATAGACTGAAGACGACTGAAGAATCTCCACTTTTTAAATTTTTTTACCAGAGGGACACTTTGTACAAAAGTCGATTGCTTGGGTACCTCTGACCCATTCGTGTTTCTACTGTAAAGCAGTTGTGTTTGCTGTGTTTCGATTTAAAGAGTGGGATATGGCGTGAATTTACAGGGTACAGAGGAATAACATCTGAGTCCTCAGGAATGGCAACGCGTGGGGGGGTATCATGGGCGAAACAGTATACTCTGTTAAGTCCATGGTACTGCTCATGTCTATAGGCGACGGTTACCACTTTCCATCAGGTGGGCCGTCAGCTTGTTTACCATTTTAAGTTGTATAAAAAAAATTCCAAGTTTAAATAGGAATAATAATTCTTATTATAAAGACACAATACATATTTAGGCTGTGTATATGTATTATGACTTGAGGACTGGACTATTGATGTAATTGTTTGTTGCTTATTATGTAAATTGTATTGTAAATGTAATCTAATATTATACTCGTAATAAAGAGGAAAGATTTAATTTTTAGTATCTAATGGATAAACACAAAAAATACTTAACCAATATTAAAGATTTTATTTAAATTGGTTTAGATATTTCTTTGCACTTACCTGTTACAAAATCTGTTTCATATACAGAAAACTAGATTATTAGTGGGTTGTATTTCATAAAAAAAATTTGAAATTTTTCTACCTATATAATCGAACGAAGCCGAGACAGGTCACTAGTAAAGTATAAGAAACCTATAAAAGAGGAATTTTATGAAATTTTTTTATTTTATGTACTTCTTTTGACTACAATTTTAAATTTAGATTTTTTTTAATTCTACGTTTGTCATATTTGCTTTCATTTATTTAATGTCTCTCTTTTTGCTATATATATATTATTTTTTATATGTTCTAGGAATTCTATATTTTCTTAATGAAGCGAAAATAAAAAAAAGGGTTTAATTACAATAAAGAATCACACCAAGATTGATGGACACAATTTGAAATCCAATTCACGTTTATATATTTTCGACTGGATCGGTTTTCCTAGTATCGCACCTGTGGCACGTGTATAAGACAGAACGAGAAGTAGACGTCAAGCATCTTGTTCTTTTTCACACCTACGTTAACGATATCGTGTCTATCGATAGACTTATTTTTTTTTAATAGATGATAATGGAATAGTAGCCACGCCTGCGTTAAATGTATACACTGGCGAGGCACCGGTAAGGGATAAAAAGCAGGTTAGTTAACCCATCATGATGAATACCAGATTCATCACGATGGTTTCCAAGGTGAACCACTTGGAGATCGAAATCATTGAATATATATTTTTTAATGGATTGGTAACCCCGCCTGCACTATCGATATACACTGGCAGGGCACCAGTAACAGATGGGATAAATGAGGAGGAAACAGGTCAGTTGGCCTATAATGTCAAATTTATAAAAAAATATTCAAGATGGTTTCCAAGGGGAGCTGCGAGGACGTCGACCTGATGGGGTATATTGTTAGCAATAGGACTGTTAGATTTCATTACTAACAATCCCTTCTCTCCTACCGATAAACTAGAATATTTAAGGAATGCGGAACCATAAATAAGCACACGACCCGACGGATGGTAAACGACTACTTTTATTCTATTACACCTGCAGTGGTGCAGCAAAGGCGATGTTTTTTTTATTATTATTTCTTACTATATTTCCTCTGAATATAGGTTAATTGCAGAACTACTGGAAATAAACATTTAATTTGCCTTTGTTACATAAAGCCTTACCCAGTATCGTTGCTCGAACTAATTAATACAGAAATTAATAATTAAAATGTGAATGCAATAGCTGCTGTGTTGTGATGACGCCTCTTGAATGCAGCGCGACTGAACTTTACGCTTGTTTGTATGATCTGTTTTAATGGAACTTAATGAAAATATAAACAAACTAGATTTTACCCGCAGTTTCGACTGCGTGACCGGGATATGTTTACCGAACGATATAAAAAGTAGAGTGGTCGGCTCTATATCTAGATCGCTTAATGTAATTCCGGCATAGAATGGGCCACGCCTTTTTCCCGTGGGTGTCGTAAGAAGCGACTACGGGTATTTAACGGTCCAGGGATGGAAAGCAGCGTCCCTCTTAAAACATCACTGGCAAACTGTGATTACCAACCTGCTTGCTAAAAGTGGCAACTACAACCAGTACCTTTCTATAACATATGGGGGAGTTCCAGGTTTAGCAGTGGACAGTGAACTCCTGATATGATGATATAAATTAGTCTATATTCTTCTTCTTCCCATATAGTATTTGAATACCAAATTTCATAATAATTTGTTTAGCCATTAAGGCGCTATAAGGTAACAAACAATCAAACTCACTTTTATATTTATAAGGATAAATAACTAGCTCGATCATAAGACAGTTTATTAATATCCAATAAAAATAAGTA